CTCCAGCGACGACCCGCGGTAGTCGCGCGAAGGTCCGCACCCCTCCAGCCCACTCGCCCCTATATCGTGTATACTTAAATCTAAATGGGGAAAGGTAAGGGGGAGGATATTAAGAAATTTTTTAATAAAAACGGTTTTTTTTATTATATCCATACACACACGCACCAGAGGCCAATCACCCTAGGGTCAGACTCGTACCATGCGCGCGCGANGGGTGCGGACCTTCGCGCGCGACTACCGCGAACGGGCCGCTGGAGGGGATACAAATCGGACCGCTGCGGGTGGGGGCGGACCTTCGCGCGCGCGACTACCGCGAGTCCTCGCGAACAGGGAGAGGGAGGGGGTGCGCGATGGTATACCGACTTTCGGAGGAGGGGGTACCGACCGCTGAAGGGGGCCCTATTCGGCCGGTAAAAAACAGCGCCTACCGACCGCTGAAGGGGGGGCACTATTCGGCCGGTAAAAAAATAAAAACTGCGCCAACTGCGCCAACTGCGCTAACTGCGTTAACTGCGCCAACTTGTTTTTGCTACTCGGCCGGTAAAATAGATCCAACTGCGCCAACTGGATTTGCTACTCGGTCGGTAAAACAGATCCAATTGAGCCAGAACCGGCCTTTCTTATCTATTTAAGAAAAAAAGGAAAAAAGGAAAAATCGCGTGAGACCATCGGCCGATCGGAGCATCCTGCTGTTGTACGAGAAAAATACCGGGATTATCTAGGATTCTATGATCCGTAGAGTAGAAATATGTAGGAAGTAGCGGAATACAAATTATTCCCGTTAAGAACGAATAAGAACGATGGGCTAATAAGAGCCGTCGCTAGTTGTTAAATGCGAAATTTTATATCTTAGCAGGAGAATAAAATTGTCCGACAGCGTAACACACGCGCTTGACTTTTCTTTTAGAGTTTCAACTTACGAGTGGTATTGTTTAGTGATACATTTTCGAGCCGACCCTTTCAATCCGCAATTGATATTTATACTAATTAATCCTTCGTAATTTTATTCTCCTGTTAAGATTGATAATTTCTTAACATCCCAGGGAGCGTAAGACGTCTTTAAGATGAATTTAAAGCATCTTAAAGACACCTCTTTAAAGCGCCTTAAAGTTGCTTAAAGACGTTTTATGCGTCGATTTTGAATATTGTGCTCACCGGGATCTAACGACGGCTCTCATTAGCCCATCGTTTTTATTCGTTCTTATTACTTTTGTACCGCGTCGGATCTTTATATATTTCGTTTTTTACCTGTTAATTTGAACAAGACCCAAGAGTCTATACTTCCGAATGCCACCTCGCCATTATCAGCGGCTTCCTGGAGGCCCGGTATGTTCTCGAGGACCCACTTTAACTTCATGGTGACCTGCGAACGAAATCGAAATCGCTAATGGCAATGTAGACTGGACAAAACGCCTCGGGCGATCTAGAGAGTAGTTTGAGAGATTGTCGGGCAATTCAGGTAAACCTAATATGCCAACCTGAATATTCATGAACTTCAATACGCTACCGGCCAGGAAGCGTTTGTTCCTCGTGAGCATGTACAAGATACGTGAGCCCATACGCAGTGCCTTCATTGTCAACGATTTATTCCACTGGTCGACCAAGGTAGCCGCTCGCTGATCTTTCCACGTTATGAACCTGAAACATCAGCAACGCGTAATCCCGCGTGAGCTCTCGTCCCGGTCCGAAAGTATCCTCGCTGATCGTCATTATTGCATTACGGCATCGTATCCTTACTTGTGATAATGCGAGCCGCTCTTTAAATTTCATGTGATGAAGGTGGCGCGCTGCGACGAAATTCCGAGGCAGGAAATTATACCCTGAAATCTCGTGTATGAGTGAGCGTGTGTGTTACAATTTTGCATGGGCTGTGTAATATTATTTATTTAAGTTAGATTAGGTCGGATGGTGAGTGCATGAGTGTCGGTTGGCACGTGCTGAGCAGCAACGGCTATCGTGATCGAAAAACGCGAAATCTTTATACGGGATCGTTGGGTGGGCGCGAACGTGTTAAGAGGGGGGGCGGGTTGCGGGAAATACTCCTACAACCCGCGGGTTTGTGCATGTTCTTTGGGGTCGCGATCGTGCACCGTATTATGGAAGAAGTAATACCTCGACTTTTTCGAGATATTCGGACGTAAGGAGGGTCGAATTTAGCATGCAACGTGGGTGGAAAATAGCCGTGAGCCCACTCGAACCGCCGGCAGGTATGAATGATAGCCCGTAAATTTGTCAAGATTTCACAGTTTTACTCTGAAATCTCGTGTATGAGTGAGCGTGCGTAAGGTCCGCGTAGCGTAGCGTAGCGGACCTTTTTTTTTTTTTTAGGCGCTTCTCCACTTTTCTATACATCATGTTTCCCCCCCTCCACTTTCCTATCTTATACTCCTTATTCCTCGGGGGGTTAAAAAATTCCCAAGCCACGGTGTGAGGAGACGTGCTTATGGCTGAATGGCTGCAGGGAATTGGAAAAGATGTGCAGTCGCGAACGATCCCTTCGGGGCACCGGCCCGAACCCCGTAATATTTTGGGCTTAGCAGGTAGAGGGGGGACTACCTTGCCGTACCTTTTACTTTCCCTCCACATTATTCTTGTATATTATATGGGAACTCAAAATATTCATAATTATCAAACTAGACTTAACACCCGAAAGATTGCTTTGTCCTCAATCGCGGAGAACCACGACCCCGGGTTCGATGCGGAGGACTCGCTTAATAACGATAGCGGGGCCAATGTCGACGACCTCGATGTTCACCCGGATATTGTTAGTTTTAATGTTCTGTTACCTATCGCCGGAGACGTTGTGTCATGCCCTGGCTGCGTACAGCGTGGCGCGGAAACTTCATTCCTGGCACAGAAAGATTATGTAGAGCATGTTAGGAAGGACCACTCGCGTGCGGAGGTGAAGTGGAAATGTCGATTCTGNCGGAGGTGAAGTGGAAATGTCGAGTCTGCGACAGAGATTTCAAAGGCGCTCATAATGTACTCTGTCACTTTCCGAAATGTAAGGGGCGCCCCGCAGAGCAACACCTGGAGCACGCTTGTGAGGAGTGCGGGTCTTCCTTTCGCAGCGTGCGAGCCCTCTCCATACACGAGATGCATGTACACCCAAGCACCAGGAACCGAAAGCGCCGTCAGAAGTTTGAAGCAGAACCGAAACCAAAAGGCCACCGTAATTATGTCTGGACGGAGGACGAAATCAGATTGCTTCGAGAGCTTGACCACATGTTTAAAAATGATAAGTACCCTAACGTAAGGATCCGAGGGCATATGCCTCAGAAGACGCTAAAGCAGATGAGCGATAAGCGAAGGGAAATTCATGCAAGACCGAGGGATACGGAAGAAGAAGAACAGCAAGAAGAAGAACAAGCTCGACAAACGGAAGGGCATGCCGAAGAGTTAGAAGAGACGCCACAACCTGATGCTGGACTGCCGGCTAAAAATTTACCGCGAAACCAGCAAGAACCACTTCACGAATGGCTTGAATCTCTAAAGGACCAATCGAACTCCATACTACTGCCAGAAGCAAGTGAGTTGCAGGAGTTAAGCAAGAGAATCAATCGGTTATTCCTACAAGCATACGAGAGCACATATGACCCCAAGGATATAGACGATTTTATAAAGGAAGAACTTACGCCGGCTTTGGGGAAAGAAACGAATGTAGCGAGAAAAAGAGTGCAAGCGAAAAACATAAATAAGAAGCGCCCACGACCGAGAGTAAACCATAATGCGAGAAAGAAATTCAATTACGCAAGATGTCAAAACATGTACAACAACTGTCCAAAGAAATTAGCAGAAATAGCCATTAGCGGCGAAACCAATAAAATAGAGGCGCGCATTGATCCTCCTCCAAACAAAAATGTAAAGGAATATTATGATGGGCTGTGGGGAATGGAGGGCCCCAGAGTCGACTTACTGACCGATAGTAGGATTCCAGTACCGCTGATGATGGCGTGTCCGGCGGTAACTGCGGATGACATTGCAAAACGTATAAGTAGAATTAAGAAGGACTCAGCGCATGGTCCGGATAAAATTAGGAAATGTCATCTGCAGAAATGCGGAGCGAAAGAAATACTCGCAAAATTGTTTAATTTGCTACTGTACACCGAACATTATCCTAAGCCTTGGAAAATGAATCGTACAGTTCTCTTGCCCAAACCGGGTAGGGATCTGAAACAGATAGAAAACT